GTGACTCCGTTGCACCAGAGGCAGTATCCGTACTTCTGACGTAGGTCATAGACCTCCTTGGTGATCTTATATGCCGTCCATGGCTGCCCAGCTCCCGCCGCTGCCGTCTCTTGTGTCGCCTTGTTCTTTCGAACTCTCTTGGGACGCTTCGGCGGGAGCGCTACGACAATTCCTCCATCACTCGAGGATGCTGCTGCAGCGTGGTGGTCGTCGGTTTCCTCAGAAATCACGGCATTGTTATGTGTTAGACGTTGATAGGCCTGCTTGGCCACATAATGCGGTTGGGATTGCCTCTCGTTAGCGGCCTTGTGGTCCGTTTGGATGACCAAGTTCGCTCGATCCAGAATGCCCTGGAATGTGGTATAATCGTACTCATTACCGAGTGTCGACCGCAATCCCGCGCATGATCGCGAGAAGAACTCGGATCGTTGATTTGGGAACGTCAAGTCGAAGCCTGGTGTGGTCACTATCTTTTGCCACTTCGTTGTCCAGTCTCGAGTGATGTCGAAGTGCGGCATCTTGAACGTCTTTGTAGCGGCGTCCGGTCTCGTCTGTAGCTTGGTGATGTCCGTCTTGATGGCGGCCACCGTGCTGCTGATCGTGTCCGGTCCGTTGAAAACACCTATGTCGCCGATGATGGTGACGACGTGATCGATGCGTTCGTTGATTTGCTTCGCCGCGTCCGTCGTGCACCCTGGCGCTGCTGAGGCCTTGGCCTCAATGCCGTTGATGCGTGCGATGGTAGAGTTCATCAGCTGTTGCTGTTGCTGCTGCTGCATTGCTGCGTTGCGGACGTCGGCCGTTACAGCGGCCAGGTCTTGCTGGTACTGCTGTCTTTGCTGTCGTTCCGCGTGCAGGTGCGCCTGCAGTAGTTTGTTGTTCCACATTACTCCCCTCATTACGTTCAACATCACGGTAGCCAGGTTACTTTCCTCTGCCTCCGCCTGTGTCGGTTCCGCCTGCGTTTCCGTAGGCACAAAGATCATGCCTTGGAGTAACGTTGCCCACTGATGCTCACTAGCAATCAGGGACTCCGTGCTGGCGGCATTCCGTCTGTTTCGTGCCGCTTCGTCAGTCTCAGTTGTCCGCTGAGCTTCACCTGCCGCCTCATTGGCCAGCCGCATGCGTTCTGCCTCTGCCGCAGCCTGTTGAGCCTCGGCGGCGGCTACGGCGTCTGTAAATGCCTGTAGCAGCCCACGATAGTCAGCCAAAGGCTCGCTGGCCTCTTGGACCGGGCATGCGGGAAGATCTCCGGTGGTGTCTTGTACTGTCAATGTCGTACTTGATGCCGCTGGAGTCATCTGTCTGCTGAATCTCTTGGGTCTTGGAGGTACCGCAGGGCGGGCACGAACTGCGATCCTGGCACTGCGCCGTGGCAGTGCCCCGGTGTCCTGTTCCGTCGACATCAGTCTGAATTGATGCGGTACTTGAGAGGTGCCGGTGTTCACAGACTACAGGGGGGGTAGGTAGAGTGGGAACAGGGGTAGAACAATCAAGCAATATACATACAATCCCCTGTCCCACTGATGGACTGTAGACACCTAATCAAACAGGAAAAAATAAATTTCCCGTAAACCCTTCAAGAAATTCGTAATAAGGAATTAATGATGATTTAATCACTAAAATTAATTAATGATAATTAACGAAATAAATCCAAATGATAATCAGTAAAACAATGTTTGTAATAAAGATAACCAATTAATGATACGAATTTGAAAGGTATTATGATTAGGTCTCTTTAAGATCACTTTGAGTCCGGGAGTTCTTCGTTACTGAGTGAACTACCCGGAAGTTGCAGTTTGAGGGTCAGATACGGCTTAGTGTGCTAAAAAATTTCGGAAAATTTCAGAAGAAAAAACGCTCGAATTTTCAAAAACGCGAATTTTCGAGAATTTCCACCCTCAAAATCCGATTTTTAAAAGCCTGAACCTATTTCCGGAATTTCTCAAACAAGGAGAACGACAAAAAATTTTGCGAAAATTTCGGTCCCAACCCTAATTTTCCGCGTTTCGGCGAAATTTC